GCTATGCCCGCGTTTTTTTCCTCGTAAAGTCCTAGTAATGTTACTACGACTTTACGAGGAAATTGTTTTCTCGTAAGTATACGAGAACCTTACGAGGAAACATGGTTTCCTCGTAAACTCGAAGTAAACTCGTAGTATTTTTACGAGGAAATGTTTTCCTAGTAAATTTTCCTAGTAATGGCTTAGTTTTCTTGTAGTGCTCGATCTAGGCGGAGCTCGACAAAGGTGGTGGGGAAGATGACGGTTTGAGAACCAATAGGATTGGAGACTGAGATTATTTATTCCTACTTCAAGCAATAAATTTATATACACCAACGATTTGTGGGAGTTATGAAACGGAACCATTATTGATGGTATGTTTAAAGAGGGAGAGATGAAGAGATAAAGTATGATGAAAAATTGCATCGATTTAATTGGGAGAAGAACAGAGGGCTATGTTTGTGTTTTTGAGGGGAGACGCAGGAATGGAGGAGATGAAGAGATAGAGTAAAAGGAAGAGTTGTGTCGATGCATACATGGGTAAGTAAATCAGACCGAAACAACCAATTGAAACCGCACAGAATTTGGGGTCACATGTTTTAAGAATTGATGACGTGGATACTGATTATTTAATCAGATGTGGACAGTCTCTCTTTTGCTTATATTCTTTTTTTATTATTGTATTGATTATAAACAGGTTGGCAATAAGACATAAAGCATGAATACTACAACATATGTTTTTGTAAAATTAAATAGTTCATACTAAGCAATAACAATATCTGTAAATCTTTTTGATCTTTTGCAGTGTATGAGACATCTTCTCTATTAAAAGAGAAGTACCATTTATATCTACTACAAAAAGTTATGTTGGACCATCTCATTAATATGACATATTTAAGTATTTATATTAATCAATCAAATATATATAATTGGAGCAATATTTTAATAATAATAAGATATTAGTAATAAATTTGTTGAGAAAATATCTAACAAGATCTTACTAAGAAGTTTAAATATTTTTTTAAAAATATGCATTATTTAATTTCCTGATTAATATATATATAAATATTGATATTAATTTTAATTAAAATAAAAATTGTTATATTTCATAATTTACTTATATTCTACACTATATTAAAATAAAATGCTATGTGAAATGAATATAAAATATATTAAATTGGTAAAGGAAAATATTTTATTTTAAAAAAATTGTTTTATTCAAATAAATAAATAAATATCACTCACTTTTAAAACATATTAAAGTTTTTAAATCCTATAATATTTTTATACAAAAATGTTAACATATATTTTTGTAACTCACAACAAATATATAAAAAAAAAATATTTTTTTATTTTAAAACTTACAACAATATATTATATAAAAATAATTAAAATTATAAGATTATAAAATTATACAATATATAACAATAGAATGTAAATCATATATATTTGAAAGGTTTGTTATATTTTTATAAAATGAAAAACATACCCGCACGGATGTGCAGGTTCAAAATCTAGTATCAATTACAAAAGAACCAAAGCGGAGCTGTTGCCGTGCAAACAAAACGTATTTTGCTTAGGAACAAATTCTTACTCTTTGCCCTTGAATTATTTTCTCTGATGAACGAAGATTAAAGTACAAGAAATTAATATACTTCTCTCGCGTACTTCGATTAAAGCATATGATCGCGAATCAATTAAACTATGATTGTTTTCTTTTTTTGAAACTCTAAAAAAAACTATGATTGTAATATAAGTAATACTTTAGCTTAAATAGAGAGACAGTCAGACAACACAGATGTGAAAAGGGTTAATCGGGTGGCTAGGCTTGCAGATTTTTTTTAGGATTAGAATTTCACACTAATAACATGTTGTGAATTAAAAAAAAAAAATTGGTTGTTCTTATTATTCAATAATATATATATACAGGAATATAAACTAGGGTTTATACCATTCTAAACTATGAGCTTATGAATTTAATAGACGTCTAAATAATATTCATAACAAAGACTAGCAAAACTAACCATTATGTACATATGTAACATATCAATAATATAACCACTGATTCTAACCACTATCACGGAAATTTAACATATTGAGTTGATTCATTCACCTGGTCCACTCTTTTTGAGAATTGAGCCGATAAAACCCATGCATTTTCAAATACTTTCCCTCGTATTTGATTTGTAATGTTACGGATATCCGAATTTTTTGGATCGTATCAGAACGAATAACTAATCAAATAAAATTTTACTGATATTTTTCCCACCCTTACCATGCTCCATGCTGCATATATATATACTAAGAAAATATGTATTACGTTCTGTAATGTTACATTTAAAGAGTAAAGTTCAAGTGTTTGTATTAATATAGATTATGTTTCGAAAATATGAAGAGAAAATGTAAACTATATACAATATTTTTCCCACCCTTACCATGATCCATGTTGCATATATATGCAATATATGTATCACGTTTTGTAATGTTACATTTACAAGAATAAAGTTCAAGTGTTTGTATTAATATAGATTATGTTTTGAAAATATAAAGAGAAAATGTAAACTATATACAAAAAAAAACAAGAAAGAAAATGAATGTATGTTATACGAATATATCTCCTTTATTTTTATTTTGAATTAAAATATAATTAATAACTGTTCAGATCTGACAAATTCAATGTTAAGGAATATTCATCCTAGATTCATATTTATTTTTGTATATTATTGTATTTTATAGCTACTAAATCATTCTTGCTTTTAGTAAATTTATACCAAATAATCTCAAGATTAGAAAAATATTTGCCAACTACCAAACCCTAAACATGATTTTTCTATCATTAAAAAGATGTAAAAAAAGAACCCAACATTACCCAAATCGAGTGTGATGTGGCAAAAAATTGACTTTCTATTAGATTTTTTTTTGCTGACATGGACACATTCAGAGGCCTTTATATTTAGGTTTTAGTATTGTCAGATGTAACTAGATCTATGTATTTAATGGATTAAATATAACTAGGACTATTCGAATTCGGATTGCGGTCGAATTTTTGTCTTTTCGTATTTTTTTTATAAAATTAACTTGTATATCAAATTCGTCTCTATTTTGATTTGGTTCGTTTGCAATGCTTTTTGTTGTCAGTTTGTTCGATTTTATACCAAAAATTTCACTATTTTTATCTTGTATAACTTTTTGACTTTTATTTTATATAATTAAAAATCATATTTATTAAAATATAAAGATGTTTTAAATATTTTAAATAGGATATGTGCCCTATTTTAAGTAATAGTAAGATGAAAATAATTTATTAAAAAGTAACTAAAACTATGATAATTTCTCTAAAGTAAAATTAAAATTTAATAATATTGTAATACTATTAATTAAATGTTAGCACAAGATATCGATAAATAGAAAAACATACTTTATTTAGTTGAAGAAAATAGAAGAAAACCAGTACAACTTTTAATTTAACACAAAAAGTTATTAAAAATTATTTTATAAATATTAAGATGATATTAACAAAACAACTTATGTACATATTTTAATTTTATTATGTTGATCATATATAATTTGATAAATATATTTAATTAACCATCTTTTTAGTTTATTCAGTTTGACCAATTTTCTTACATCAGTTTAACCAGTTTATAATTTTATAATAATCTTATAAACTGATCAAACCTGTTTATAATCATATGTTGCGGTTTCAAAAAATAACATATGTATTCTGTTTCATATCAATTCAGTTTTATCAGACTAAACACCTTTAGATATCAAGAAGATCTATATCAATAACAATTTATGGCGACAAGCAAGTTTCCACTCAGTTCAACTTGTAATTTCACCAATGATATGAATATAATTTTAATCACGTTTGTTTTACATCAGAGTATCTCGAATTATATTAGGGTCCTGTTCCAAAAAGTTAATTATATACTTAATGATATAATAAAATAATTTTAAAGTTAATATCTTTATATATATATATATATTTGTGATTTTCTTTAAATTATAAACTATAAATTTAAAAGGAGTATATAAAAATTTGATATTTTATACTATATTGCCCTGAATCTTATGCTTAATATTACTTAACGAAGGGTATATGATTTATTTTGTTTCCTGGCAGCTTTTGAGGAGGTAAATAACTTGTGCTGATTTTCACTTTTATTTTTGTTTTTATTTGTTAGTCTACTATTTTCTTCTCGTTTATGATTCGAATGGTAACACGAAATCTTACAACATTTAATAATAACAAAATTTTCAACATATATATACTCTGTTTTTGCTATTATTATAAATGTCCAATAATTTTGTTGCTAAAAAGAACTGTATGTAGTTGTTTGGCATATTATTCATATCTTTAGCCAGGACCGGTCCTGGGCTAAGTCGGATGAAACATTTGTCTTGGGTTCTCAATTTTTTTAGAAAAAAATTACATGTACATAGGTTCCCAAAAAAAAAAAATTAGGCCCCTAAATCCGACAAAAGAAAAATTTTAGTTAAAATCGTTAAAGTATAGCTTAGGTTCCTGAAATCTCAAGACCTGCCTGCCATGTCTTTAGTCTACTGTTTTTCCTCTTATACTCTATTTAAATTTCTCTCAGTTACTCTCAGTTCTCCAATCACAGATTGAATCAATTTCCTCTTAGTTTTTCAATGTTATCTATCTACAGATCAGACAGACGAAAACAAAGAACAATAAATAGATGGGGCATTCCACAACCCACAGACAATTGAATAACCAATTAAATGTAACGACGGAAAGGTCAAATTAGAAGTCCGAAATACGTAACAAGTTGAAACGGGACATGGACTACGTCTGTCAACCCGAAGAACGTTCTTAAATGACTTAGGGTCAAATTCATACATCTATATCAGACATTTCTAGTGTTATTTCAAGAATAAAAAAACATTAGGCTGGGGCTCTGATCCAATTGATTATTCTATGCCATTTTCTTCATTAGATACCAAAAAAAAAACGATAGCTTGTCATTTAGTTGCAGAATAATCTTCAAGTCTCCTCTTGTGTCAAAGTCTTGGATGATAGTTGATCGAAAAGTCTGCATAATATTTTTTTTTTTAATTAACTGTAATTAATGAACTTAATTATCTGGTGAGAAAATACTCCTATATATTCAGCTCACTTCCTACTTTCAACTTTCAGAGCCAACAAAAGACAGGAGAGTCATGAGGATGGAAACACAAGGCAAAGTTATCACTTGCAAAGGTAATTTAATTACTTACAGTTATGTTTATATGTATGTGTAAGCTAGCCTTTAAGCTAAAATATGATGAATAAATAAATGAATGAACAGCGGCTGTGGCATGGGGAGCTGGAGAAGCTCTAGTGATGGAGGATGTTAAAGTGGATCTTCCTCAGAGACTTGAAGTTAGACTACGAATCCTCTTCACTTCCATCTGTCACACCGATCTTAGTGCATGGAAAGGCGAGGTAATTCTAATATACTCTTAATAACTTACTCTCTTCTTCTTCTTCTTCTTCTTCTTGAAGTAGCTACCCCTTTTTATTTCTTCTTATACTTGTTTGTTGTTCAGAACGGGGCTCAGCAAGCATATCCTCGGATCCTTGGTCATGAGGCTGCAGGGTAATTACTTGAATATATATATATATATATATATTGTTGTCTCGTTTTTTTTTTTGCTTTTGACAATGGATGTTTTTGGATGGAAACAGGATAGTGGAGAGCGTAGGTGAAGGAGTGAAAGATATGAAGGCAGGGGATCATGTGCTCCCTATTTTCACAGGAGAGTGTGGTGATTGCAGAGTCTGCAAGCGAGAGGGAGCCAACCTATGCGAGAGATTCCGAGTGGATCCAATGAAGAAGGTGATGGTAGGTGATGGGAGGACTAGATTCTTCACCAGCAAAGACAACAAGCCCATCTACCATTTTCTCAACACGTCCACCTTCTCCGAATACACGGTCGTAGACTCGGCATGTGTGGTCAAGGTGGACCCACGGTTTCCTCTAGAGAAGATGAGCCTCCTCAGCTGCGGTGTCTCAACCGGTAATAATCAATACTCTTATAGTTATGTGTGACATGACAAGTGGATGACAAGTGGTTGTGTTTATTTAATGAATGGGGCAAGTAATGTTTTGTGTGTAATAATGAAGGAGTGGGTGCGGCCTGGAACGTGGCTGATATTCAGCCTGGCTCCACCGTCGCTGTCTTTGGGCTGGGGGCTGTTGGGCTTGCGGTGGCTGAGGGTGCAAGAGCAAGAGGGGCCTCTAAAATCATTGGGATCGACGTTAACCCTGACAAGTTCCCATTAGGTATAATCAATGTTCCGTTTATTAAGAACATTTTTTTTCCGTTTATTAAGAACATTGATACTGAAATATTTTATGAAAATCATATATATATATATATATACATGTTATTTTTTATAAATATGATATTGAAATATTTTATCACTTATATCCAATATATTAGTATAGTCTGAAAACGTTTAGACCACACAAATAACAAGAAAAACTACAATTTAGCGTTTTAAACGTTAGGTCATGTTGAGCCACTTCCCGTTGATTTATACATATTTCAACAAAATGGTTATAGTTCAATTTGCATTCAACAGGGAGAGAAGCAGGGATCAGTGAGTTCATAAACCCAAAGCAGAGTGACAAGACAGTTCATGAGAGGGTCATGGAGATAACAGGAGGAGGAGGAGTGGAGTACAGCTTCGAGTGTGCGGGAAGCATTGAAGCACTTCGAGAGGCCTTTTTGTCTACAAACTCTGGAGTGGGAATGACAGTGTTGCTTGGCGTTCACGCAAGCCCAAAGCTTCTGCCTATCCATCCCATGGAGCTCTTCGAAGGCAGATCCATCACTGCCTCTGTTTTTGGAGGCTTCAAACCCAAAACCCAATTGCCTCTTCTATTCACCCAGTGCCTCCGAGGTATGCTCAATCTGGACCTCTTCATCTCTCACCAGCTTCCTTTCAAAGATATTAATGAAGCCATGCAGCTCTTACATCAAGGCAAGGCTCTCCGCTGTCTTCTCCGCCTCTGATCAGTCTCTTTCGTATTTGTTTTTACAAATTGTTGTGATGTTGATTTTATTTTAATTTCCTAGTGTATTATTACGTTGTTGGGTCCACCTCCACTCCTGCACTTAAATTGTCCTCTTGAATGATCACCGATACTTCATAAATGCGGAGCCTACAACTCTTTTAAAAGGTCACGAAACTCCCATGCATGATGTCTCTGTTTAAATCTACCGGGTCGTTGATGGTTGATCACCACCAACCCTTAATTAGCATATGGTATATGGAGAATCTCTATAATATTATTCGATAATTGTTAATCACATTTTTACAATGATCAATTACATAATTAACTTTAATGAATTAAAAGTTATACATAGATATAGATATGGTTCCGTGCGATGAACGAATTTTATTTGATATTTAATTTTTACGGACACATAAAAAAAAATGGGCTTTTTGCATAATTGACCTGAAACTTGAAGTCAACCACAAAACTAACCTCCTTTTTTTTTGGAACTTTATTTTGTCCAATTCACCCCACAAGTTCATATAATTCACGAAAATGCCATCAATTTGTTTTTTTATTTTTTTTTTCGAAAATGACATATTTACTCTCTCACCCTCATCATCTTCAAGTAATTACAAGANCTTTTTGCATAATTGACCTGAAACTTGAAGTCAACCACAAAACTAACCTCCTTTTTTTTTGGAACTTTATTTTGTCCAATTCACCCCACAAGTTCATATAATTCACGAAAATGCCATCAATTTGTTTTTTTATTTTTTTTTTCGAAAATGACATATTTACTCTCTCACCCTCATCATCTTCAAGTAATTACAAGATTGCAATTGTCATCAATACTCCAACAACCATGAACAACCAATTTTTGAAGCTCTTAATGCCTCCAAATTCCATTTATTCTTCTTCTTTCTCTATTCTCATGAACTAAACAACACATTACAACACATATCTCTCACTTTCTCTCCACAATGAGCTAAAAAAAACCCAAGATTTTGATTCTACATTTTTTAGGGTTCATATATTCAAAGAAATTAAAGATTCAGGGTGGATTACCTTCGTTTGAGATCCTGAGTGCTTGATCCTACATTTTCTAGGGTTAATATAGTCAAAGAAAGTGGTCCCACCAATTTAAGGTATGAAATCGAGTTTTTTTTTCCAGATCTGTTCGTCCAGACGACTGAAATTTCAGATCTGTTCGTCCAGACGACTGAAATTTAGATCTATTCGTCCAGACGACTGAAATTTCAGTCGTCCAGACGACTGAAATTTCAGTCGTCTGCAACGCAAAGGTTATTTTTGCAATTGACTTTGCAATTTGTTTCCAGAGACGACTGAAAGTTTAGTCGTCTGGATTAGTTTGATAAAAAAAATATTCTCAGAATCTAGACGACTGAAATTTCAGTCGTCGTAGGTTAGTTTTGCATTTGACAACAAAACTTCAGAATTT